CGAACCCAGAACCCGGCTCCTTTTTTTTTTTTTTTATTTTGCCAATTAAAGAATGTGCATATATGTTTGGCTTAAGAAAACGACATAATGATGCAACTGGTTTTTTTTTTTTTGGGTTATATGATTGTTTGCTAAGAGATTATCCAAATTGCAAGGATTTTTGGGGAATTGAGTTCAGTGAATTGAGCTGGGTTCGATGGAACGTATTTGTTGGGTTATGTTCTGTCGAACTTCAATCTTGAAAATGGAAAGAACACCGTTTATGAAAAGAATAAGAACAGTAACCGATGGGGAAAGAAGCAATTCTTAGTGGTGATGTGGGACCCATTTGGATGGAATTGGTGTGTTTTCGCTAAGTAGCATGTGATATGGCAAAAGTTTTATGCAAATCATCACCTTTTTAAGTTTTGCTCTCTACATTATCAAAAAAAATATAAAAAATGTCACCTAAGTAGGGTTAACGGCCCAAACTAACAGAAAGACTAACTGAGTGCATTTTATATAGTTGAGGGATAAAAAAAATACAAAAAATTGTTTAGGGACCAAAAATGTGCGACTCACTAAAGTTGAGGGACCAAATTTAGCATTTAACTTTTAAAATACAAAAGTTGTATCAATTTTCATGGGACATGACAGGTTGCCCAACCGACCAACATATATAGGGAAAAGCATATTGAACAAGAAAGCTCAATAATACAAAGCCCTGAAGCAGCAGGAATATAATTATTTTGATTGTCTTCATACCAGACCCTATGAATCATGGATGCCAAGTATATGTGGCTGTCCTGAGGGACATTGGGAATCTGGGATGGTTTTTACTTTTTATCATATATCATTTTTTTTTTGACAAAAATAATAATTAGTAAGTTAATTTTATTAGTTGTTAGTAACTAAAGATTCGATCTTTAAATTTGATGAACATCTCACCTCTCTCAATAAGACGCGCAATCCATTGTACCGCTTGATGGACTTCTTTATCATATATCATTGCCCAAGAGTAGTTGAAGCTTTCTTTTGCACTTTCCTCCAGCCAGAAATAATTAGATAATTAGTTTTTTTTTTAAATCAAAAAGTACAAGAAGAGGATGTGCCAAAAATAAATAATAATAATAAATAAAAAGACAAGTAGATGACGTCTAGTCGCGAAGTTAATTTAGACTAGAGTAGTTGGCAAGTCTTCTTTAAAAGAAAAGATGCTCACGGGCCACCCCCACGAGTATGGTATAATCTTAATTAGGGAAATGTAACAATTTAACAATTTAGGATAAGAATAAACATTTAATTAAGGAAAATGTAATCCAACTGTGTGTGATTGTTATTGATCATGTTCCGATCCTTGCATATATATGTTAATTCTTAATTTCCTATTTTCATCACCTTGCAAATTGCATTATACGATTAAATTTTGCAAAGTTCTATATAAGGTTTTTCAAATGATAAGTGAATGACAAGAAATCAAGAACTATTCATAGGGTTTGATTGTTGGGCCAACATCAGAAGAAATTCAATTTTTTTAATGTATTATATATGTTGATGTGAATATGTATCTTTAAAATTGTTTAAGGTTAAATATTAATCTTAAAACATGTAAATTTAAATAAAAAATTATAACCACAATCAAAGAAAAAATATATTTTTTTATAGCCTGTGCTTAATTAAGCTCTCAAGCAAGGATATGAGAGTAGTATTGAATATATAGGAAAGGAAATACCAACCTATTCCACTATCAAGAAATTAAGAAGGAATTATTTATCTCATTTGTTAATTCAGTTATGAAAAATAATTTAGAATAATGTTTTTTATATAATTTTTTATATTATTTAATAATTAATTTTTTTATTTTATTAAAACTCATAATATTAAATAAATATTTATTTAATAATATATAAAAATTATAAAAAAAAATTAGACAATAAAATTACCAACATATCCTTACCCTTCAATTATTCAACCATTTACCACACTGGCACACCCTATTCTACTTCCAACGTGCGCATGCACTTTGAAATTGAAATTCCTAGGTAGGAACAAGAGATAAAATAAAATACAAGGTTTCATCATTCACTTCTATATGTCCTTGCACAATAGTACAAATTAGGTCAACATCATAACTCGTGCATAAATTCCCAGTTCCAGACGTACCTCCTTTTATTTATTTTTTATATTTTATTTAGCAACTTTTTGTCACACACATACGGACACGGGCATCACCAATAATCCATCCATAGATGGCTAGCGTCGTTAATTTTGACTTCTAAGGGCACTTACGCCTGCCGCCATGGGTAGTAAGGGTGGCGTAGCAGGGGCACACCTCCTGGTTACCGGAAGTACCGGGTGGAACGCAGTTGCAGCGCGCACAACAAGTGCCACATGCCCTCTTGCACAGGTGCTGCCTAGACGCCAACCTGCACCGAGCAGCACAAGCACTCCCGCAATCTGGAAAACCAAAAATTCACCATAATATTGTCATGCATGTTGTTCAAAATTAATATTCATAATATAAAGTACTGTAAACCAAACTTCATAATCATCATTAATTACCAGTTTTCCCAGAGAGATTAGCCGCCACAGTGTTTTCGTTGCTTGTCTTTTGATCAGCTTCAGCAAGGTGGAGAAGGAGAAGGGAGATGATGAGAAGTGAGACAATTAAAGCCTTAGAGATAGCCATGGAAACCTAATAAGAAGTAGAGGTTTTTTTTTTTTTGAATGTTTTGAGGTGTAAAATTAAGAGGACATGGCAGGTATTTATAGTAGCTAGTAGAGGACACAATAATAGATTAGTATAGAGACATCCGGATGAGATGTATGGTGAAAAAGAAAAATCAAAAGGGAAACGTCCAATTGTTACACTGTTTTGATTAGGAATATCTGGTGAAGGACAAGGACTCCCAGTTTCAGCTTTGGAATCATCTCGAGTAGCTGAGTTCCCATTACCTTTATCTGGTGTAGTACATAGGATCACAATAAGGTTTATTATGATATCTTGAGTGTTATTCTGGATTAGCTTGCTTAATTATACCCACCTCTCTGATCGGGTCAAATTAAGACCTTCGCTTGAACTAGCAAATTTGTAAGGAATTACTTGTTTATGACATCTATCACTATGAAAAAGAGTCACTGGATTATCTCATACTGCAATCAAGATGAAAGCAAAGACTCGAGAGAAACACTTCCCACTCGTTACAGATCCTTTTGGGAGCAGCGAAAATGATGGAAGACATGAGCTTGTTAGAAAATGATTTAAGAGTTTGTCATTTCCAGAATGTTCATCACCATCTTCCATTATTAACTCAATCAACTTACCAGCTGTCCTGAAAACTTCCCTTTTTTGTCCCTTTTAACAGCTGGAAGCTGTTGATGCAGGCATGCAGCCCCATACCAAATTAGCTTCAGTCTTATCCATCAAAGTGAGCAGTTTTGGTTCATCTCAAATACTAGTTGGGGAAAGATTTGACCATCACCATCACTGATATATGCTTCCCAGCTGGAAAGAGATAGATGCCACTTCATTCGTTGGGACTCCATCAGTTAGGTTTAACAGGAAAAAGGCAATTCAATACCAAGATTCCAATAATGTTTAAATATCCAATAAGTTGATCACCAATTTGTAATTTCCAAATGTAGCAGTAAGGTGGAACACCAGCGAATGGAAAATTTTCATACATACTGGAAGCTGAACTTGAGGAAGAACAAGAGCGTCTCTAAAGCATTAGCTGTGTTTAGAAGGAAGACAATCAGATCCATTGATCTCATCTTAAATACTGGTGCTGATACAATGTAGTCCTTAGTGGAAGAGATAAAAGGTGAAATGAGCCTAATAACTTGTGTTACCCATTGTAGTCTGCCTAGTTGCATCAATCTAATGGCTGGCTGAAAATGGGAGGAGCATACAACCATCCTAATTAGGAAAAAGCTCCGGGGTGGATCTTGAAGAGCAAGCAAAAACACCTGCTTTCAAGAGTCACACCAATCAACTTGTAATGTTTATACCACTCCGGAGGGGAGCCGTAGAACAAGCTGTCCACCAAGAAGACTGAAGATAGAAAAAAATGACTTTTTGAGTGAGTGATGGTGCTTAGGAGATTTAACAATGGAGTTAAAGATCAAGATTTAGACATGTTACACACCTCTTGACATAATAGTAGCAAAAATCTGCCAGTATGAATGTCTGGACAATCTCTGAGAGCAAAAACATGGGAGGCCACAGTCCATAACCTAAAGCAGTCAATAAACGTCCTCGAGTCTCCCATACCTAGAACAATCATACTTTTAGACAGTTCAACAAGCTAAACAATGCAGAAATGTCCTTAAAGTCAACATGGATCTTCTTTACACCACTTCAATTCAGGGTTCATACCTGGAGGATCCAGTGTGCACAACTCAAGAACCTTGCAACTCCCAATGCAAATACATAATGTGCTGTGAATGGTTCAACAATCTGAAAAGGGGACAAGTAGTTGTTGGTGAACTTTTCCTCTTTGAAAATCAGAGAGTTTAATCTTGATAAGAAGCTTTTTTTTTTTGTGTGTGTAAAATGAAGGGTTTCACCTAACAACACCATCCAACTAAGAGCACAGAAACTGCATGAATCTTTCTGCCTTACCTTCGTGTTCTGCATGACCCGTAGTTGAGGTAGGATTGAAACAGCTTCAAGATAAACAGAGAAAGCCCAACAAATCCTGTTGAATATGTGATGGCCAGTTGATGGATGAATAAGCAAGGAAAGAACAGCACAAGGGGCAACCTATTGAAGGTAAAATTCAATATTCATAAGAAAAAAATAAAAATAAAAATGTTGATAACACATAAAAGTTAAAAGCAGAGGTGAAATACATGCAAGTGTGCTACAGAATGAAGGAATCCTATAAATCATTTGGTAGAGTTACAAATGTTAACTAGAACAAGATTGTATTCTTAAAATTTAGAATATAAAAAAAGATATCCTCAGCCAAAAAGAAAAGAAAAGAAAAAAAAAGATCTTAATGCAACTACACACAGGTTCAGGAGATGTATAGAAAGGTGCTTCATGTCTCGGGGAAAGATTGTCAGAAACTTAACAAGAAAAAAAATGCAAAATTTCAAAGAATAAATATATCACACAACCTCCTAAACAGTAAACCAAAGATTGCAATCACTATGATAATGATCGAGTGACAAGTGAAAGCCTTTATGAGCCAAGCAAGAAGCACAGCACTCCAGAACTCACATCTAAACTTTCATACATTCATCAACCAACCAGACTACATTATAAAACAAAGTCAGAGACTTGTCAAAAAATCAGACTAATGGGGTACATACATGTATGAAATACATTGAATATACAGGACAAACATTCATATCATAATTCTCTGGGTAAGGATTTAGGAATGAAGACATACCACAAAGTAGATTGCAAAGTTGTCTTTGTCCTCCATGTAACTAGACCCAAGTTTAAATCGTATCATATAAATAACCCAAAGTGTTGTTCCCAATGTTGCTGTATCAAGTAAGGTATGTATATCGTATTCCATGACAAAACTACAATACAGCCTAACAGCTAAAAAAATAGCTGTTAATTCCTGCGATTTAAGTGAAAGTCCTGCAAGCAAAGCAAAAGTAGTTTCTTTCCGTATCAGTACATTTTTCTACACAATTACTTGTTAATTCGAGCTTTTGAATGTTCAATTTTCCTCCATCATGAAAAAAATTAGCAAATAATTTACATAAATTTTTCTCCATCTCACCAAAATCCGGCATTTTAAGGGAGCAAGATAAAATGGCTCCAGAAGGTAGAAACTTAGAAAAAAGAAGCAACGTACCTGCACAAGTCTTCTCTTTGGTGAGCTTGTAGATGAGGACGGAGATACCGAGGGCATGAACAGTCTCGGCAGCGACGAAGAGGTTATCGTGATCGTGGACCACCATTCTCAGGAACAGCAGCGCCGCCATTCCCGCCACAACCGCTAGAAAAGCCTTGATCTTTGGAGGTTGCCGCCGCACCCATGTCGACAGGGCATGGATCGGTCTCTGCGTTCCCTTCATTTTCAATCTCCGGGAGTCTCCACACTTCCAGTCTTTCCGTTTCAGGCGAAAGCTTAATATTTTGACTCGAACTCAAGATAAGTAAGAGAAACGTGGAGAGTTTCTATTGGACTGATGATGCAATGACGGCTAACATACCGTTCGATTAAAATCTGATTTTGACCTGATCTTGATCATAGGGTTTAAATGATCAACAATGATAAAACAACCTAACAACTATTGGGAATTCGAGAAATGTTGGGCGAACTGCACCATCGTTATCATTGAAATGGGAAATTGGGAACGACTACATCTTTGATGGACCAACAAAATCAAAAAGCCAACATCATTATCTGCACTCATCAACAATTTTCACAATTTGACCTATATCAGATTTCAACATCACTATAAATGAGATACTTTAATGGTTTAACATAACATTAATTTTTTTTTTTAATTTTGTTTATATTAATAACTATTATATTCGAACCTAACCCTTCGGGTAAAGTGGCTCTAACCACGCTTGTAAGGTTCATGTTCCTCTCCTACAGGGCAACGGTTCAAGCCAACCCTAAGACAAAATGTTCAAAAAATAAAAAAAACTATTATATTCTTCTTCGATATAAGTGATTGGTTCCTCAAATCTTAATGTGGTTGGATTAGTTGATTGAATTTTGAGTTATATTAACGCTTTAAAAAATCTTCTCTTTTAATCCCTAAATTATGAATTTTTTTTAAAAAATAATTATTATATTCTTAAAATGAACACATTTTAACTTTTTAATTGCCCTCATTAATAAGAAAAAATATGAAATTTTAATGAGTAATGAGTTTGTTTTTATAAACCTTTGTAATTTTCTCTATAATCTACTAAATAAAAGTTTGACCAATAAAATAGAACTTAGGTAGTATGTATGGTTTTATGGAAAATGATTTATTGATGATGTTTTATAACATTAAAATTTTATAATATTTGTTTGCCAGAAAAAAAATCTTATAATATTTTGTAGCATAGTTTTTATTGACTCTTTTAATTTGAATGTAAAGTATGATATTATATGTATTTAATTATTTGATTTCATATAAGTATGGTAAGCTTTATTTTATATTTTATATACATTATCAAAAAATGATTTTTCTAACATGTGTTACATATGTTAAGGGTATATTAAATATACATTTTCATTATAAATATATGTAAAAATGTAAAAATTAATATTAATTTTAGTGTCAGGTGAATTTAATTAGACAATTGATAAATTAAATATTAAATTTTATTTTTAATCTAAATTTATAATAAAAAAATATTTAATATACCCTGAATCTTAATCTGTAATTTAAAAATATAAGTTAAACAAATCTATAAAAAAAAAAAATCAGAACTGTTTTTTTAACAACACATGATGAGAAATTTAAGGCCCAAATTGTGTTTCTGAATCCCATCAGCCCACTCTAAAAATAAAATAAACCCAGATGGGCTCAAAAGATCCTTATAAGAAGCGGAAATTACAATCGGCCCACGGTAGGCAGGGCACTTTTTTGTTGTTCGACTTAAGGACGCCTAAGAATTGACCGTTGAGAATTCCTTCGATTACCAAACGGTCCAGTTTTGATCTTAGTTGTCAACACCGAAAAAACGAGTAAAGGAAAGATTTCAAATTTGCTTTTTTTATTTATTTAAAGATGTTAATTTTGTCAATTTTTAAATAAGAATGTCAATTTTTAATTTTTTTTCTAAATAAAAATGTTAACTTTTAATTTTTTTTCTAAATAAAGATGTTAACTTTGTCAGTTTCTAAATAAAGATATCAACTTTCAACATTTTCTATTTAAGGATGTCAACTTTCAACTTTCAACTTTTTTTATTTAAGGATTAATTGAATAGTGATGCTGTGGCTAATATTTTTTTTAGGTTAAATATTTGAATTGGTCCCTCGACTTTTATTTTTGAACCAATTCATCCTTAAATTTTAGAAAGTACCAAAAACATCCTTCAACTTCAATTTTCAATTTCATCTTTCCATCAATTAAATGTTGATGTAGCTAATTTTTTTACTAAGTGATTGACTATTTTACATTTTCAATATTAGGTGGAAAATGCATCATGTAAAAGATGATTATGTGGATTTTTTAAATTTTAAATAATTTACAAACTATTTTAATTCTTAATTTTACTTTATTTATATTTAAAAATTAAAACAATTAATGTATTTTCCCATTTAATTAGTCTCACCTACCATTTAATTAGTCCCACCTACCATTTAATAAAATTAAATAAAATTTAATTAATTTTTCATGAATTAAGAAATAATTTTATTAATGAAAAATTGAAGTTGAAGGATGTTTTTGGTATTTTATAAAGTTTAAGGATGAATTAGTTTAAAAATAAAAATTGAGAGATCAATTTAAGTATTTAACTTAAAAAATATGTTAGTAACTAAACATCACTATTCAATTAGTTTTTAAATAAAAAAAAAAAATAAAAGTTGATATTTTTAAATAAAAAATGATGAAAGTTGACGTGGAGAAACTGAAACATTCTTATTTTAAAAAAAAATAAAAGTTAAAATCCTTTATTTGCGCCTTTACTCCTGAAAAAACACTGAAAAACCCTAAATTCTTCCCCAAATAATCCTCTTGTCTAATTTCGCAACTGTAATCTTAGAATGGGTGTTGTAACGCGTTCTCAGGGCGCTTCGGATCG